GTAAGGAAATGCCACCGCCGGGCGGCCGAGGCGCAGTCCTGCGGCATGGGGCAGGGCGGTGGGAGCGGTGTGGCGGCTGGGCGAGCACAGGCCCCTGAGGGCAGGGCCAGGCCAGCACGCGTGAGGTGATGGAGCCCCTCTGGCAGGTGCGGGGCTGTTTCCTGGCTGCCCGGGGGTGGCGGGATGGGCAGTTCCGCACTGCCTGCTGCAGCAGGCTCCTGCTCTGCTGGGGGTGGGTGGCGAAGGCAGCAAATATCCGCCTTTGGCCTGGGCAGCTCCAACACTTTCCCTGAAGCCTGTCCTCAGACTGCCCTTCTGTCAAGGTGATAAGCTGGCCCTCAAATGTGCTTGATTCTCCCTTAATCTTGACAGCAACACGGAAGCAGCAGCATCTCCAGCAGCCCCTGCAGAAAGGGATGGCTTTTGCTGGGTGATGGATTGATAAAGGCCAGGCAGGAGATGTGAGGCAGAGAGAGGTGTTCTTGAGAGTAAGCAGAGTGACCAGCTACACATGACTCAAAACGAGCTAGCAAATCAAAATTTTAAAAAAACCCAGCAGCTTTCAGGTACTACACCTACACAGCCACAGTTAAATTGAAACAAAGAAGCCTGGTTCATTGCCACAGTTGGTATAAAAATGTCATTTATTGATTATTCAAAATTACTAATCCCGAGCTATTTGTTCACAGCAGGCACAAACACTGTAACACACATTAAATCCTGTTCTGCATGGAAGCTTTAAGTCACCTGATTAGACCATCTCCTGTGGTACAAAGTGTTTGAATTCGCTTTCCCCAACCTGACATTTTGCATCTATTTTAGCTTCTATGTAATCTCAGTGATAGAGGCACAACTGCTATAAAAGTGTAATCATAATTCATCAGAGGACTTTGACTTGTGGGCTTGGATTTTTCTTGTATCTGGCAATCCCAGACAGATGTACACCTAGCGGTTCCTCAGCACATGTAGAGTCTACAGCATATCAACTACCCACATGAACAAGTAAATCCATTGCTCACTGGAGTCACTGAAGACATGCTATGAAGCACCAGGTGTAAATACCATTCAGAAAATTCCTGACAAACACAGCAAGTCAGTCTCATGATGGGCCTAGAACTGCATCTTCCCAGGCACAGGTGGTGTTTATCTGATGTCTTAGGATACACTTTGTGCATCACCATGGAATTTGTCATCATTGCTTGCTCACGCTTTCCCATTTTAGAAAAGGCCTTAAGGTCTTCTTTATTAGAAGTATAAAATTACCTGGAATCTTCAAACCCACATTTTTCAACTCATGTTAGACTCATTTACTACTACATAGAAAATTTAAGTGACCTCAAGAAAGGAAGTGTATTGAGATACTACAAGGTATCTTGAAGCCTGGTTTTTAAAGCAAAATCAGCACTGAGTTTCTGCATGACTTCTGCATGACTCAGCCCATGCTGCTCTCTTTTAGTAAGTCCATAGTTTTCTTTCACATACTTTGCAAATGGCGTTAGCTGTGTCCTAGCAGGAGTGCCATCCTTGCAAGTGCGCTGACTCAGGACCAGCTGCCCCCCGCAGAATGCACACACAAAACGCTCCGTGTCCAGAGACTTGGAATGACGTCCAATCCTGAAATGGAAAAATAAGTACTTTGATTTCACACTTAGAGTAGATGGTTGGGTAAAGGGCTCCTTTCTCTTCAGCCAGGCTACTTAGGTCATATTTATAAACAAGCATTTTAGAACAGGAAACAGACCACATACTTCACACAGCAGAACAATCAAATCTGTATTACACGTTTTTCTACCCTACAACTTTTTCCACAGCCTGTTCAGCTTGGTTTCTTCCTCTGTCTCTTCCACTCTCAGCCTAGTAGTATGAAGTGCTACAGCATTTTGAAACACAACTCACATATCAACTATCCCTTGAAGCCATCACCATCAAATCTCAGTGCTCTGTTGCATATATGCAAATAATGCACTTCATAGTCACATTAAACACTTCAGGAAGATTCTTTCCTATGTGAAACACTCTTTTCTTCCAGTGCTTCTGGAAGTAGCACAAACAATCCTCAGGAAAAAAAAAAAATCCCATGCATGCTTTCCATGCTTTCTAAGCATGCATTTAGTCCCTAAAGTTGGGAGGGAATAATTATTTTTTTTAAGTTAAAAAAAAAAAAATCACACCATTGTCAGCCTCTTTTCCTGGACTATGGAGAACTGAATCCACAAAACTTCACGTTCTCCCACTGAGACTGAGGTCGTTACATACCGAAGCCTGTGGTCAACTATTATCTCCCAGAAAAGGCAAAGCCTTCCTTACCCACAAAAGGTAAGAAACCTGTGAAATTACTATAGCAACTATTTTCTGGTTGATCTCAGCAATATACATAGCTCTCATTTCACAAATGCAGTAAGGAAGACAGAAGTCTGATGACCAGTGTTGCAATCTGTAGATCTGTGTCCTAGCTTCAGTCCTTCACATCACAGTGCTACTCACATCTGTGTGGCTGCAGACATCTATTCTTCCTTTAATATATACACATGCTGAAAGAGTCCATGATATAGAAGATCAACTAGAAAACTGACTATAGCTTTACTAGAGTTTTAAACCAATAGAAATCATTGTATTGTTGGTCTCTACATTTTACTTAGCATTACTATAACAAAGAGGTCAAAATGTTTAGTCATCAAGACACAAAACCCAGAGAGCTTCCTCTGATATGTTGTTCTGATATTTAATTACTGTCACACATTTTTCTGTCCAGTCTCTATGGAGACTTGTTCTGCTTTTGAATGCCAGTTACTAACTGACTTCTTTCAGCATCAGATGGTCCTCAGTATCTTTACAAGGATGAGCATATAAAAAGTAACTCAGTCCACCGAACCAAGTCTAGCACTCCCTCGTGGACATTTTTCCTTAGATCAAACCTAGATTATGGCACATTCAAAGATGTTGCTTTGTAAAATGTGGATAGATTTCAGAAGGATCTGGAATGCCTTATGTCTACAACACATGCTAGTACTTTGCTTATGTGCATTCTACAGGAATGTGCCAGATCCAGTTGTTGCTCTGCCAGTGTAGGCCCACAAGTATTGCTCTTGATGTAGTACTTAGTTAAGACTGGAAATCCCACCCCCTGTCAGAAATCCTAGAATAGGATCAGTGTTGACCATGAAATCACAGATAAGTGGTCCAAAACTTCCACGAATTCACTCAACTACAGTAGAAGGTGAATCATTTGAGCAATGTTTGAAAAGTGAGAGCAGCAACCTGGGGTGTGACCTTTCCCTGCCAATCATTTAAAGCTGAGGCACGTATTCTGATTTCTTACTGCTTCCCAAAAACCTTCCATCATCACCAGTGGTCCTCACTAGACACTTCTGCCTGTCCTGACCTCTGAACTGGAACTGAAACTACCTGGAAATAAACATGTGGAATCATGTAGTGAGGTTCTGTGGGCTGCTCAGAAAATATGAAGTGACAACGCGGACAGTATTCCCAATTGCTTCACAGTTTAAGAGACCCATGATTTCTAGACACAGGAGACTGCCAAGTTAGAGACAAAGTTAATACATATTCATAGGCACGATCACAACATTACTTACGTAGCACTGCACAGAACACACTCATAGATGAATTTATAATTAATCTCATAGGTGTGGCATCGTGTTACTACTGGAAGTTCAGGATGAATCACAGCTGCTTTATTGGCATAAAATCTCCAGAATCGTCCATGCCCATCACGAACACCGTTGATCAGCCAGGTGGCTGCATGGCAAGCCTCATGAACTAGTGTGTCTCGAAGACGATCTTAGGGTAAGGCAAACAAAAGACATTAAGATCAGTCAGGTATGGGGAGGCACGGACTTTCATCCTTGGTGACTGGCTTCAGACCTTCGACACTCATTCTTTATTAAGATGCAAGAGTTATTTTGGAGGTTGGAATTACCAATGTTTTGCTAAGATAAAATCATAGAATCACATCATGGAATGGTTTGAGTTGGAAGGGACCTTAAAGACCACCTAGTTCCACCCCCCTGCCATGGGCAGGGACACCTTCCACCAGCCCAGGTTGCTCCAAGCCCCGTCCAACCTTGCCTTGAACCCTGCCAGGGAGGGGGCAGCCACAGCTTCTCTGGGCAGCCTGTGCCAGTGTCTCACCACCCTCACAGGGAAGAATTTCTTCCTTATATCTAATCTGAATCTAATTCTCTTTCAGTTTAAAACCATTACCCCTCATCCTATCCCTACACTCCCTGATCAAGAGTCCCTCCCCAGCTTTCCTGTAGCCCCCTTTGAGTACTGGAAGGCCATTATAAGTCTCCCTGAAGACTTCTCCAGGCTGAACAGCCCCAACTCCCTCAGCCTATCCTCATAAGGAAGGTGCTCAAGCCCCTCATCATCTTCGTGGCCTCCTCTGGACTTGCTCCAACAGGTCTATGTCCTTCTTAGATTGGGAGCCCCAGAGCTGGACACAGCACTGCAGGTGTGGTCAGAGTGAAGTATAGGGACAGAATCACCTCCCTTGACTGCTGGCCACACTTCTCTTGACACAGCCCAGGATATGGTTGCCTTTTTGGGCTGAGAGCGCATTGCTGGCTCAGAGTCAGTTTTCCATCCACCAACACCCCTAGGTCCTTCTCCACAGGGATGCTCTCAATTCACTCATCACTCAGCCTGGATTTGTGCTTGGGATTGCCCCGACCCATGTGCAGGACCTTGCCCTTGCCCTTGTTGAACTCCATGAGGTTTGCACAGGCCCACCTCTCCAGCCTGTCCAGGTCCCTCCAGATGGCACATCCCTTCCCTCCAGCGTGTCGACTGCACCACAGGGCTTGGTGGTGTTGGCAAACTGGCTGAGGGTGCCTCGATCCCACTGTCCATGTCACCAACAGAGATGTTAAACAGCACTGGTCCCAACACCGACCCCTGAGGAACGTCACTCGTCACCGCTCTCCACTTGGACATCGAGCTGTTGACTGCAACTCTTTGAGTGTGACCATCCAGCCAATTCCTTACCCACTGAGTGGTCCATCTGTCAAATCCATGTCTCTCCAATTTAGAGACAAGGATGTTTTGGGGACACAGTCAAATGCATTGCACAAGTCCACGTAGATGATGTCAGTTGCTCTTCTCTTATCCACCAGCACTGTAACACCGTCATAGGTGGCCACCAAATTTGTCAGGCATAATTTGCCCTTTATGAAGCCATGTTGGCTGTCCTCAGTCACCTCCCTATTTTCCATGTGACCTAGCCTAGTTTCTAGGAGGACCTGCTCCATGGTCTTGCCAGGCACAGAGGTGAGACTGACTGGCCTGTAGTTCCCAGAGTCTTCCTTTTTTCCCTTTTTAAAAATGGGGGTTGCATTTCCCCTTTTCCAGTCAGTGGGAACTTCACTGGACTGCCATGATTTCTCAAATACAATGGATAGTGGCTCAGCCACTTCATCCACCAGTTCCCTCAGGACCCACAGGTGCACCTCATCAGGTCCCATGGACTTCTGCACCTTCAGGTTCCCTGGATCTTCTCCTACAGTGGGTGGTTCTTCATTCTCCCAGTCCCCGCCTTTCCCTTCTGTGATTTAGACGGTGTGGCTAGAGCCGTTGCTGGTGAAGACTAAGGAAAAATAGTCATTGAGTACCCCAGCCTTCTCCATATGCCAGTTAACCACGTCTCCTGTTTCCTTCCAGAGAGTACCCACATTTTCCCTAGTCTTCCATTTATCACCAACGTAGCTATAGAAGCTTTTCTTGTTTCCCTTGATGTCCCTGAGCAAGATTTAATGGACTTATATATTCAAGGTAATACAAAATTTCAAAGCAGGGCCCAGTTCCAAATCCCTTAGGCCTCAGATTCACGTTTTTATATCTCTAGAACTCACTTTCTCAAAGAATCAGCATAGCTTTTATTTTACTTACCTGCAGAGTCACAGACTTTCTCAGAAAGTTCTATGCGAGCATAGCGCTTTCCTTCAGGACCATCTGTCTGCCCAGTTACACAATATCCTGCCGTTTTTCTCATTTTCTTATTCCAGGTTATTATCATTTTTTCCGGTAACTGAAAAACAAACCAGTACATTTTATCTGCCCTCTCCTACTTATCTTCTTCTGGCCCTCTGACTTCCCCTTATATTTACTGCAAAGCCAGTACAGGATATGTCTACTAGTGCCCTTAACACTGTTGTCAATCAAGATGCGAACCCACACTCCATGGCTTCTTATTCCCATCATCAGTTTTTCTGTAACCAACACAGGGAGTTTCACAATGCAGGATGAGACAAAAAGTCCCTTAGTTCCTCTGCTATGCCTTCAGCAGTGGCTAACACATGCTGCTCAAGAGGAAATACAAGGACAGGTCAGGCATAAAACAGAATTTCCTCTTCAAAATGTACCCTTCCCAAGTGCTAGCCATTTGCAAGACAAGTTCTCACTGAGCCACAGGCAGTTCCTTTGCATTAAATAGCCCCTAAAAGTTGTTTTCTGGGGTTTTGTGGAGAGTGTAGTGTGTGTGTAGGTTTAAGAATACATATGCATTGTTAGTATCCACAATAGTCTATGATCAGAAATTCTACAGTTTAATAATGTACAGGTCAGGTACCATCTGCTTTGGTTGTTCTGTACCTGCAACTTTCCATTTTAATTTGAGGCACCTCCGCACTGCAAGAGGGTGAATAAATCACCCCTTGCTTATCCTCTGTGCTGCTCCTGATTTTATAAGCCCTCGTATGTATGTATCATGGTTAGCTCTGTTCTTTGGCTAACAGTTTTCTGTCATCTAAATTAGTTAATAAGCTTAAGTAAATGGTCCAACGGTAGTAAGTGTCTTCACAGGCCGAAGCACTGGGGAACAAAGTATTTTGCTTTCAGCAACAGTGAGCCTGTTCAGCTCAGAAATATTCCCAGGCTGCTGAGAGTTGATGATCATGCAGGTACTAGAAAATACATGAAGATAAGCATCAGTCACCTCTTCAAACATGCAGCTGACCCAAGGCCCCTCACGTAGCAGTTTCTCTCATCAGGGACTCTTGGACAGCACCCAGACTGCTCCTCCATGGGTGCTACACCATTACAGCCAGGAAGGCAAGCCAGGGGGAAAACCACTGCACCACAGTGGCAATAAACCCCTTGCAAAGAAATTGCTTGAACTAATTCAAACATAAGCCAGTGCTATAATGCTTGATTTCTACCAACTGAAGAAGATAAACAGCAATCACATCAAAAAGTGAGGAGAAACATATTAACCAGCATTTTAGAACTGTAGTTTTCGTTTTGAAGCCAACCTTTTTCTCAAAGATGGTACTGTTATACAGACAATAGAGCTTCTGTGCCAGCTCCTCTTTATTTTTCTTGAAATACTTCACGTAGTGGGAAGCTGGATTTGAGAGATCTTGCAAGAAACAGCCAGGCACTGAGCACACCCTGAGCCTGCAAAAAAAGCCATAAAGCACTTTACTGAAGCACAGATACCACACTGAAAAATAATGGCCACTTTCTAGCCAGTGAAGATCTTTAGGAGGCTGCCACTGGCATAAACCTCTCCTGACTCTTTCCACTAGCTTGCCCTCCCAAGGCCAGTGGGGTGCACATGCTTACAGTGTCTTCTTCCTCCTTCAGGGGCATGAAGGGGCAGAGCTGTTGCCATAGTTCTGCAGTTATTTCATTAATTCACAAAACTAGATTATAAGGATTCCTAAATAGGAAAAGAGGGTGTCTCAGATCTTTGTGGTGCAGTGAGCCACAATTATACAAAAACTTGATCAATATATGAACACCCGTAACATGATCACCCACAATAAAGGTATATTTTCAGAAACACAGCCAAAGATGTTCTGGGAATCCTCAGGAATTCATTCAGGGCAAGTAGATATTCCATCAGGATTACTAACTCCAATACTGCAGCATTCTGACAAAGCATCAGCTTTGAAGACATCATTTAAAGGTTTTGTATTCGTATACATAATTATAAAATGACTAAAGGAAACATCACACAGTTAATAGGCAGAATAAAGGCAGCTATTAGAAATGAAAAAGAGATTCTTCTGAAAAGCTTAAGCTGCATCCACATATAGAAAAAGAAACATGAATTCTTGCAAGTTATAAGGATATAGGTCAAAAATATCAAGACCAGCCTGTTAAAAGGCATGGATTACTAATAGAATCAATTTTGATATATTTTCAGAGGCAGACAGCTAGACAGACAGAACCTGTAGGGCCAGCACACGTTAGAAGTATGCTGTGCCAAGACAAAGAATAGCAAGAGAGCTAACATTTACAGATTTGACATTTCTCAGATTTGTCATCAATCCCTCTAAATGGAGATTAGCTTCTATTCTCCCTGTCGTACCCAAGTCTGAAAGCTTTGATTTCCAGCTACTTAACCATTAACAACTCCTGAATCGGTAGCAGAAGTTTCTAGGTACCAGCAAAAAAAAAATCAGAACACCATCACAGGCAAAATTCTGAGCATCTCTTTGTCCATCTGTAATGGTCCTAGAACACGGTAAAGGTAGAGAAGCACTTACCTTTTCTCTGTCTTGGCCGATTGTGAGCAGCCAACCAATTCATTCCTAGGAATTCTTACAGAAGCCATTATCGTGGAAGGTGTTTCTTGAAGGGAAATGGAGTTCGGCCTTGGTGTCTTGACTCCCTCCCCTTTTAAGGGCTGGGCATCCTCACAGCGTGGCTTCATGTTTTCTAGTTCAACAGAAAGTCACAGGATTACACGCTCCCAAAGAATGGGGAGCACAGATGTCAGCAACCAGGTAACAGACAATGAAAAAGTCAAACATTCCACCTCAGCACACACACTCTCACTGGGCATACTTGAATGTGAAGACTTTTACAACTGACGGAAAGGTAATTTGCTGTTACATACTACAAAAATTACTATTCAGTAAAGGCATGGCAGACTCCAAACTTTCAAACGTTCAGCTAGGAGGAAGTGAAAAGCATCTGTGACCTCACTCAGGCATTTCTGTGACATTTCAACAATTCAAAATGCATCACTGGGAGCAGTAATGCAGAGAGACCATTGGAACTGAAAAATCATTCTAACCTGTCATGTACCATAAGTCACATCATTTGTTTCACATGCAGTTCTAAGCAGACAGCTGCCTATTTCCCCATCTGGACAGATTGCTAAAATCACTGATATTCACACCAGAAATCAAGGACTGCTTCAAGGTTTGAAGTTTCAGTACATGCTCTCTCTGCTGGCTTTTCTATAACTGTTTACCTATTTGGGCCACTTGTCTCCTTTCACCATTCAACCATACCCAGAAGCCAGTGTAGCTGCTAGCTCACTTCTAGAATATGTTTTATAGACCACATTGACATATTCCAATAAAAACAAAAGTCTGCCCTTTCCTAGGGCATATTTCTGTGCTGTCAGTCATCCTCTTTCATAGGTCTCCTTGCCCTGAACTAGCCCTTAGTGAAGAAAGCACCCCATCTTTACTTTTCTACAAAAAGATGTGTTTTTACCTCCTCTTACTCAGCAATATTTTTCCCTTTATCCCCCTTTGCAATTTTTCAGCTGGAGTTCACTTCAATTAGTCATAGGAGAGAAGGAGCTACTATTTAGGAAATTCTCATTATAAAGTGTATTTTAAATAAAGTCAGTTTTAAATCCAAATACTAAATTAACAGCATCTAAACTGCTCAAAATCTCAATCTTACCAAATGACAGCTTCACATTAATTGCTATCATACAGGGGAAAAATTAACATAATTCAAAACCACCAGTTAAATTTGTTTTCAGAACATTTGTTAAAACTAAAAATGCCTACAGTTGTAGGAATTATAAAAACAAGCAATAGTGAAAAACTTAAATCTTCATACAACAAGACTAGTAGAATCACTTTTCCAAATGGTCAGAGGAATAATTTCTGATTGCATCATATGTAATTGCAAGATGCTGGGTTGCACTTTTAAAGCTATAGCACACAAGTGAGAATTCAGCAGTGAGCATTACCACTGCTGCCAACAGGGAGCTTCCAATTTAGCCAAGAACAACTGCTTACCTACTGTGCTCGGCTGGGAGACAGTTTTACTTGTGCTTAAGATAGGTTTTCGGGGTGTACTTCGTATCCTTATCCGTTCTATTAACGATTCAAATTCGTCATCTGAGCTATCTGATTCTACCTCTGTACTTTGTCGCAGTGCCACAATTGGCACTTTATTTTCTGTACTCTTTTCACAGCTGCTTTCTTTCCTTCTAGGCAAGTCTGAACTGCCTCTGAAAATTGACTCTTTCAGATTTTGTGCAGGTGGGAGTTTTATGTGCCACCGATTCGCTTTCAAGTCATTCACTTCCCCTTTTTGGGAGTCATGCCGTGAACTTTCTACAAAGACAGAATCTTCAAGGTCACTTGAAGACTCTGGATACTGCAGTTCTTGGCAGCAAGCGTTTTTCTTTCCAGAAGTCATCAACTTTTTCGGGGTCTGAAGATCCTTCTGTCCTGCAATTCAAAAGAAACAGCTTATAATTTCATTTAGGAGACCTGCCTTTGTTTTAAAACAAAAAAATCCCTTGAAAGATAGGAAAGCACAACAAATAGAAAGATCTTTTCTTTCTTACATGCTGCTCATTTACCATCATACTAAATGGAAAGTCACTGAAAGATGTATCAAAAAAAGGTAGTTTGAACACCATGCATGTGTACGTCAGTCATCAGGCCTAACAATCCTGAATAGGTAGCTAGTGCTGGCATAATCTTCATTTCCAGTAACAAAAACTACATGCATGTAAGAGTAAGGCTGAACATTTCATATTAAAGTTTCATAAAACTACCACAAGAAGGGTAACTTAACAAATGCTCAGTCTTAGCTGACCGGACCATAGCCTACAGCAAAGTACACACTTGCCAACAAGGCTTCCGACATATCAGATTTGACATCTCAAGGGATCATGTCAGAACTTTTTTTTTTTTTAATGATGCTTCTGATCCACTTTGCTTCCCCCATTTCTCCGCCAGAAACCATTCCATTAGCTTTTTAGTCTGAAGTGGTCATACACGTTTCAGGCATGACAGTCAGCACCAGCTGCAAGAGATCCCACCCTTTTTGATCAAAGGTCAGAGCTTCTCCAAGTTCAGGAGATCACTGTTATCATCCCTTATCTACTAGAATTCTATCACATGATCACTGGCCATGGGGCTGTGTAAAGAATGTATTACAGAGTTCTGTTCACTCTTTCTAGGAAAGTCCAGTTTGGTTGTATGGATGAGAACGTTAGTAAACCAAGGCACTTTCCATCCCTTGGGGGAAAAGAGGGATCCTCTGCTCAGAGAAGCACTAAAATCCCTCAAGTCACGGTTTGCCAGGGCACCTTGTAGCCAGTGTTAACAGGATTACACAAAGGACCTTGGCTACAGAAACTCCAAATTAAAGTACCCTATCTGTGGCTCTGCAACACCCATAGGCAAGACTGGCCTGATCGCCAATATCTATATCAAATTAAAGTTATCTAGTTTAACAATGGTTATCTTCTTTCTTTACTTGGTGTCTTTTGGCCACAGAAAGAGCTAGTACAGCTGTAAGAACGCTGTTTTGGATATCCTAAGTCATCTCTCCACAGTGATCACCCCATATTTGCAGTCTAATCAACCAGTCTAATCAACCACAAGTTGCTACTCTTTTCATAGACCCAAGTACTAGCAGATAGTCCACAGTATCTACACACGTACAGCAATTCTTCAAAAACTACACTTGTCAGAAGAGCATGACCATGGTTTTCTCTGTTACCCTGAGAGGAAACAGAAAAGCCTCTTATCTACTATCCTCAAGGAAGAGACAAAGTGATCTTATGTTTAACAAGCCCTCCCAGAAATTTATGAGCTCATCACTGAATGCTATCCTTCCACCCATTAAAATGCCTGCTTCATATTTGCTGTTGGACAGTTACTTGCCATTCTTTGTTGTCCTCACTTTAAAGTCCAAGAAGAAATCATCCGAGTCATCAATAAAGTCCTTCAAACTGTAAAACAAGCAAATAATGTGAAAAAAGGTAGGCACAAGCAGGAAAATAGAAGAGTAAGTTTGCCTTACTAAAAAAGCAAGCCAAAAAAAGCCACCCAATATAACATGATCAATTGCTCACAGCAAATGTTATCAACTACATCCATTAATAGGAACGGCAATAGAGCATGTACACCTCCAGACATCCTGTTTGACATTTGATCGGAACATAAAGGCTGAACACATAACAGTTCTTCTGTCTGCACTCTCCTATATACATATCTGCCTATGAATCACTAAAACTTTTGACCTTTTTCTGTATTCTGAATAGTACATGTGATACAGAAATCTAACATATAAGCATTGAAAAGTCATTAGTTACATCACCCACCTTGAATCCACCCTTTTAGAAACAGATTTGGGAGTCTTCATTCTAGCTAAAACTGAAACAATAAAAGATTAACTAAGAACAAGGTTCTGTTTCTTTTTTTATGCTTTTTAAGAGAAAAGTGTGCAACTAGTAAAAATTCGGTCTAAGGTCTTAAAAAAACCCCAACCAAACAAACATAATAATTCTTTACATGATTCCAACTCTCAATTCCTCAAAGCATGACAGCAGCTTTCTAGCATTTTCTTCATTATTCATTCCTTGCCTAGCACAAAGCCACATAAGAAGTGCTGTTGCATATCTTGCAGCATCCACTACAGCCTTCTCATATATGTGGATCATTGGGGGTGGATTTGAAGAGGTTTATCAGTATTTTCTCTAAGCATTTCAAGAACTGCAGGTAGTTTTCCTACTGCAAAGGTGTGTCCCTATGCTTACTCTACTACGTCTTCAAAAAAACAATGTTCAGATGAAATGGTAACAATCATACCTGACTGCAGAACAGCAATTCAGTACTACTACTCAGAAATAAATGCATTTTAATCGCTCCGGGAATATTGTGGTGACTGCTAAACACGAAAACACAGTTCAGGCAGCAGTACTGCACATGCACATACAAAAGTAGTGACTTCTGAGAGATTATCAAAAGTGCCATCAAAATTTCACACACCTTCGTCAGTATGAGATTCAGGAAAGCTGAAGGGGAACAAATTTCATTAAAGCATAAATCAGGCTGGGGAGAAGGGAAACAATTGCCCCTTCTTCAGAACTTAATGGACCAAATAGCAGTTAAGGAGTGTTTGTTCTCACAATGTGGAGCTGCATGCACAACTGCAATGGGATTATAAACTTTTGTGCTATGCAGTAAGCCCAAAACCAGAAGCTAGGTTTGCTTGATAAAGCTTTTATGGCTGATCAGTAGATTCTGGTACCAGGAAGAGCAGCTGAGCTACTCCCAAATGCTACCCTGAAAGCATGCTTTAAGTTAAAAAGCACAGGATGGGACTGAGCACAATGTGTGGGAAAACAAGACCTTGAAGCTCAGATAGTATTTGAAGCAGTAAGTTACTTTCAGCTTTAGCACCCAGTCAGTAATCTTCACCACTATCTTGATTACAAAAGAAGTAAACAGCATTTGCTGCCTTCCCAAGCCACCACATCAAGGTGGCTCGCTGCAGAACCAACGGCCAGAAGCCTTCCCAGTGATCATAACCAGTGTTAGACCATGAAGCAGCACCACACTAGTAAGGCTGACAGCTGGTCACAGGAAACCGAAAGCTTACAGAAAAATTACTTGCTACTTTTTAAATCAATTCTCTTTAGTTTCTTGTCTCTTGGCACATTGTTTCATTTCACTCTTTCCTAGGACTGTCACCATAGTGATAGCATGGCAACAGAATAGCTTTGCAAACACTCTGCTCCAAGGCCCAACTTGTTGCCCTCAGCTATCTTCCCCGCCAGAGCCAACACATGACTTTGGCCTCAACAGACTCCTGGATGAAAGCAAAATTAAAAAAAAAAAAAAGAGAGGGGGAAAGAAGAGCAGACTGCCAAATATTTAAGTTTTAAAATTACAGGAGAGTGAACAATGACCTAATGAATGGACAATATTGAAGTATTTATCAGATTTAAAACCCCAGTGGTAGTGCAGGAACTGTACACAGCACATTTTAATTCAACTGGATGCAAGTATTAAGTCTTTGCAATGCTTAAGATCATTCCTGTGGCACTGAACTGGAGCACAGCACAAACTCTAATGAGAGATCAGCTTTAAAAGCAGCAGGACTAACATGAGTGATATGCAAAAGGCAAAATAAACAGACACAACTTGTTGCCTTACCATTTCAACCATCTCTGTTCAAATGTTGAATACGTAATGAGGAACGTATTGCAAGATTTACAAACCTTTAAATTACTTACCAAGCTGAAACCCACCTGAGATGTGGCAGAGCCATGATTAGTCCAAGGAGCTAAATAGAACTCTTGAACAAGAAAAAACCTAGTGTGCACTCAACTATCCTAGCACAAAATGATAGCCACAACTGCTATTGCCAAAAGAAAAAAAAAGAAAGGAATATCAGGTTTTGTATGTACAGGCTAAACAAAGTTATGCACAGCAGAATCCACCATGTCAAATTTAGTATTCAGTTCCATCTTACCAAGACCTTGAGCCAAAAAGCCAAAAACATCCTGCTGCCTGGTGAAGACTCATGCAGTAAAAGCTGTGACGTGCAAAAGGCAATTCCTCCAAGTACTTAAGATGTGTTTATAACAGTAACTGCTTGGAGAAAATGTTAATTCAAAGATGCCCCATAGACTAACAAGCAAGCGAGTATCAAGGAACAGACAAATGTGAGGCAAGAAGAAAAAATAATGCAAGGCAAAAAAGCATCCAAGACTGAGACATGAGATGCAAGGACACTCACTGCGGCGTATAGCTACCAACACTGCACAGAAGGAGAAAATGTACTTTGCAGCAGGAGCGATGAAAGAAAATCATGCTTAAAAATACTTTACTATAAACAGATAGAAAGGTGTCCTTTTCATAGTCCTTCAGAAAACAAACATGTGCTATTACTTACACATTTCAAATTCATCATCACTGCTGGAAGAGAAGTACAGGGCATGGCTGCAAAAAAATGAAATGCAGAATATATCAAGAGCATTGTCAACAACAAGTAGATCTGCATCTCCACTGGTCTGAAATACCTGTGAACACCGAGACCCAAATATATACTGAAAACACACTGAAAATCTCAAATAGGCAGAACTGTTTTAATTTACTTCAAACAGAAATATTAGAACTTGTATATTAAATAACAGAATCGTCTAGGTTGGAAAAGAAAAGACCCTTGAAGATCATCCAGCCCAACCATTAACCTAACACTGACAGTTCCTAACACGCATAAGACCCCACACATGTTCCGTGTTTAAGTAGTAATCAATTGCTGTCAAAATCTGAAAAATGGAACCCTTTAGAGACACAGGCTTAGGACAGTACATTGGTTGAAGTTCAAATTGAGTATCAAGTCAGAAGGGATAGGAAGCTGATCTCTTGTCTCACGGAAGGTACATGATCAGGTAGAGAACGCTGTGTTGTATTAAGTCTGAAACCTCGAAACGTGCAACAATGAGAAGCAAGCTGTTTTTGTATAAAGTGCACTTTAATACGGTTGCCGTGAATATTTAGCAAACCGCGGTAGCTCTCATAAAGCCATTTTAAGATGCAGAATGGATGTATTACTGCTTGGACTGAAATTCTCACGGAAACGTAGAGGCAAGCCTGAAGACTCTTATCAAATTCATTTTCTGACAAAAAGCAAACATTAACAACTTGAAAAATACACCACGCAATTGCTTAATATGAAGACAGCTGCTGCTAATGACATTAAAGTTACTCAGACGTTAAAGACTATCATTCTGAAACACGCTAACACCTACCGATCATCATAAAACAACTGAGGACGAACTCAAACTACATTCAGATGTGATCAACAGAAAGGACTGCGGACGCGTGGGACCGGGCACCACCTCACCTGCCGCCCCGCCGCCGCTCACCTCTCCTTCCTCTGTAGCTCGAGGAGGCACGGGACAGCGCCCCGCCGCACCGGAGCCGCCCGCA